TTATTCAATTTGTTGTCTTTAATTTACATGAAGGTTGCGCTGCCCGATATCACACAACTTCTATGGTTGGAGCTCAACGTATAATTCCATTTCTAGACCAGTCTTTCAAGCGTTCGATCTTCGCCTGCGGAGTCATCGCACCTTGGCCTTTTCCTTGCGCAGGATTCATGTGAGTGCTGTCGAACATAGAATCGCTTGTAACATCTTTTGAGAGACTCTCCACCCGCATCACTGTTAGAACATGAAGGTTCTTGGGTGTTTATCTGACATCCCTAAATTGCATTATTTCAAAGACTCATTGACGCAATTCGAAGGGTTGGGTCAGAGGAAAAAATGAGATACTATTCCTTGAATCAATACGACTTTCATAATTAAGTAGGACCCTTCTTCATGTACTTGACAACTTTTCTACCTTATTTGCATTATTCATCAAAGGCTTGCCCCTGCTTGTAAAATGGGGAGTTAAGCGGCTCATGGCATGTTGGTATGTAAAGCAGAAGAGAAGAAAAGAAAAACTGAAAAACGCCGCCGTGAATTCCCCATATAGATACCCAAGCGGAAGTGCTTGCAGGGGATGGTCGGATGAGTTCTCACTTATTGGTGGCAGCTCTTTCTCTTTATCACCTCACTATCACCATGCAAAATGGAAAGAGCTCATTGTGGAGCACTTGGATCTACCACTAGGCCTTTGGAAATGAAAGTTGGTCGTCACCGCTGTCAATGGGCAAGGCCACGGTCCCGTATTTTTTGGCCGCGAAATTAGTATAACCTCCGCTCTTGCAGCAGGACTATCTTGTCCAAGGAAGGCATCTGAACATTAAATGAACGTGGGGCCTGCCATTACCTTCCATTTATTATGGGAGTTTGTAGAAAACACGAAAAGTGTTGATATAGCATGCTCATCACCGACATGCGATATCTGTCAATATTTCTTCCCAGTGATTGCAAAAAACCTACGGTTGATCCGTCCACCGATACTGTATCAAGTACACCTTCTAGGATGTCGTCCATTCCTTTTTGTGACACTGGATCAGTTAGCTAAATCGATTATGTTATCATCTTCATCTTATGAAAAGAAAACAGAAAAAAAAGTATGAAAAATGTAAAATAAGTATAAATTGTAAATGATTATAAATCCAAGTTGGTCTTTGCCATAACAACTCGCGCTCACTCACGCTGCACTTTGGTCTAATCGGCAACCAGAAACTGTTCCCCCATTATAACGGCCAATCAAACGTTACCATTGGCGGGAAATGTTTTGTGAAAGGTGCGATTCCTCACTCTGATTCTCTGAAATCCCAACAAGGGCTTGACAAGTCTCGAAAACAATAGGGAGTGACTGACTTAGCTGCTTTTACTGCGCATTTTCTTGACTATTCCAAAAGCAGAAGTGCTAGAAGCGCGTAAGTTGTATTTTTGTATTTCTATTTCTGTCGCTGAAATGATTTTGAAATGAAATTCGATTACCTGCGTGCATACCAGAACCAGTTGTCTAATACAAGATTTGAGGGATATAATCTCAGCACTTTGTTTCCGGATGATTTTATCTTGCTGAGCCAATTTATCCGTAACGTTCTTACGCCATTCACAGCTGTCCACGTCTCTGAAAGAAGAACTTCGGTCAGCGGTGAGAATGGAACTTCGTGATGAATTTCCACTTGTAAGGGTGCGTCTATTTCCGACGAAATTGATGCCGGTTGCACATGACTACTCATACAGAGGAAAGGTAGCACGTGCAAGCGCATCGCACCGCTTCCTATGTGTACTACAGTGCCAGTAACCTTGTAGAGGGAGGGGCACATCTGCAAGCGCTTGCCAGCAAACCAAACTGTACATGTGAATACCGGACGACCTTGTCAATACCCTGAACGCTTGCTTGCGATACGAGAAATATGAGTCGGAGGTGGGTAGTGGACAAAGTGCGCGCTACCGACTCGCGCGGTCCTGGATTCGAATCCTCAAAAGTCGACACCCGCCCAGGCCAACCAAGCCTTCTAACCGCTCGGGGACGGTAAATTGGTACCAGATTCGTCTGGGAGGATAAAACACTGACTTGTACATCGGCTGGCCACCGCAAGTCATTGTATAGGCCACATCGCATTCAATAACCACTACGATTCTGAATGGAAGTAGAATGCGTGCCGGCAGTGCCCGAAGGGATTGATTTACGGGCGAAGACTTCGAATCCTTTGTCCTTTTCTTTATCGGGAAATATCGTCACTACGTCAGCACAGGATCTACAGTAATAACTTGACAAGAATGTATAGGACTTGCGCGTGAAAGCGATTGTCCGGTAAATCACGGTGTCTAGTTACGACCTTTGCAAAGCTTATGCTGGCACGCGTTGCTTCAAAGAGCTAAAAATGACCCCTGCCAAACTAACTACGCCTGAGCGGATAAAGAGGTACAACTACCTGATCCAATTGATTTGGATAGGTATGCATTCTGTTTCCAATGCATGGCTTACTTACTGAACTATAAAAATAAAACATAAAAACAAAGTTCAAATCTATAAATTTTAACATAAGTAAATCATACCATAATTTGGACATTCATTCATTATAAAAGCACAAAATAAGTAAATAAATAAATTTTGAACCACATTATTGAATGCGATACGACCCGCGCAGTGACTGGTAGGGCCAGCCAATGCGTAATTCAGTGTTGTTTTCCTCTCAGACGGATGTGGTACCATGTAGCCGCCCCAAGAGGCAAGAAGACTTGGTCGGCTTGGGCAGAAGCCAACCCGGGACCTTTACCCTGGACCGTGCGCGTGGTAAGCGTGCCACTTGCCACCACACCACTTCGTCCTCATTAGCGCCCATTGCTTCTACAAAAGTAGTCAACCGGCATCATGTTTGCCCGTAATCGAAGCACCATAAACGAATCTCATCCGAAAAATATACCTCAATGACGATGGCGCTTGTATCGAGGGACGCAGTAGTGGATGTACAGACATGAAGTACGTCGAAGATAACGATCCTGATGTAGTAGTACTGAGCGAAGGCTGCACATGCTCCTCGAAATGCTCCATTGCCATACTGCAAAATACTGTTTTTGCATGCGAATATAAAAGAATTAAATATTGCATATAGGATAATTGAAATTGTAATGTAATGTACTGCCGTTTTGAGAATTCGTATTACCATTCGCAGAATCTCATGCGCTGTAATGTCCATACTTAGAATTCCTTCGTACTTTTTGTGCAGTGCAACTCAGTATCAGATTTGTTTGAAAAAATGCTTTGTAGCTGTAGCTGACCCATGTCTACAGAGGAATAGAGAGGAGGAAGTTTGCGCGTTGATCAATCCCTTTTTGGTATGTGGCACGCATTCCACTTCTTTTCAGAATTATAGTGGACTAATGAATGCGATGTGGCCGTTCAACAATTTGTAGTTACCAGCAAACGCACAAGTCAGTGTTATTATACTCCCAGACAAATCTGGAATGAAATTAACGTCTTCGGAGAGTAGAAAGCTTGCTTGAGCTGGGCAGGAGCCAATCTGGGAGATGACCCCCAATCGCGTATAGCCTTGCCACTACCCCTCAGGAAAAGAAGACGAGAAGAAAAAAAAGCATGAAAAAGTGAAGTGAAAAGCATTTGTTGCATAATCCATCGTAGAATTTACAGACAAATAAGGATAGGCTTTATTAAGGTCCAAGTTTCTATCCCTATAGAACTCTTCAAGATCCATATGTTCGGTTGGAAAGAAAGCTTGCGACACGCTGAACAGGTTGTTTAAGAAGAAATGAAGACCTTCTTCGGATTTTTGACTTTTGACTACTGTTATTTTCTCGAAAGTTCAAACAGTCGAGCGTATATGAACTTCATGCAAGCTTTTGGGATGAAAAAGGTTCACAATCTGAATTTTGCTTCAAAGTATTAAGTACACGAATTTTCCAACATAATACTTCCTTAAACATTTCCTTTTTCCTTAGTGATAGTACTACTTTGATAGAGTTATTTGCAAATACCTCGATAGATCTCTCAAATCCTTTAGAAGCTCATGGATGTCTATAGCTAGTGTTCCGCCCTTATCGTGTGACTTCTTCAGAATGTCAATTATACGGAAAAACTCATCGAGGACCTTAAATTGTTGTCACGAGAAAAATCATCAGAGGCTACAACTGATGCGATTGAAATTTTCCGACTAACCTTCCCTGGTATGAAGCAGGTGACCTTCATATCGATAAACTTCCTATACGTCATGGCCATGATGGAAAATCGAGTATCCAATCCGGCATAAGCATCATTGAGACGTGAAAGTCGATGAGATCTAAATAATCATTTTTGATCGACGATACTCAGGTTGAAGTAGCCAATTACTAGTAGCTTACCTTCTCATTGATTCTCGCCTAGGCAGCTCTCGTTTGATTCGTAACTTCTCTCTATCTATATCAATCCCTAACTGTTGAAAACCTCTATTAAGCAAATAGGAACAAAGTGTGTTCAACAATTTGCAGGTCTGAAAATAAAGGTACTCAACAAAAAAAAGATATCTGATCAAGAAATTAGTTAAAAAAAAGTGAAAAAGCAAAAGTGAATTTCAATCAACTGACCCTCCTTATTTTAGCAATGTCATCGTATGATAAATATTGTAAAATTGTCATCTGAAGTTCATTAGGGAGATGTATAAAGCGCTTTGGACCATCGTCGGACTCCCTGTCGATGTCTGCTTTCATTCCATCACCATCTGCTCCTGTGGTGGGATGATCGTCATTATGCTCCTGAGAAGTTTGCTGTGTAGGAAGGCGTGGACCCTAAATAAGAAAGTTTATTTCAACAGAAATATTCACAGTACCATTTGTAGAAAACATAATTTAAAGAGCTTGTTACTCACCAGCTTGTGATGTAGAACCTTTTTGAACAAATGCATGACTTAAATAGAAGGTATAGAAGGTACTTCGGAAGAAAACTGAACTTTCTGAAATTGTATTTGCTAAGGCTGTGTTCATACTTTGCCATCCGGCGTTTCGGGGCCACTCGGCGTTTGATCCCGGCGTTTCGGAGCACTCTACAAGCTACGGTGAACGATTTTCTCTCTCGCACTTATAAGCGCGGCCCCCAGATCCTGCGACGAAGCGATAGTGGTCACGGGCTGCGCGGCAGTAGCGTTTGAGACGATTTGGTGTTAAAGAGAATGAACTCATATTATTCCAACGCCGGTCGCTGTTCTATCCCTCCAACCTGCTCAAATCGCGGCCGAGTCTCTCCAAACGCCGGTCCGTTTTCCTACGGTCGCAAGCAAGATGTGAACATGGCTCAATAAAAGATGGTTGCTCTCAAGAAGTACATGGGATATAACATGTGAGAAGATCTCTTCCTGGAAGTTATGAAAGTTTTTTTTAGGAAAGATGGTTTTTCGTTTTCTACGAACACTACTCAACGATGAGAGAGTGATTCAACAGGTGAAAATTCCGCACAATTCTCTAACAACAACATCACTTTTTTACTTGTTGACCAAGCCCGGAACGGTTCTGCATGCCTAAGGAGGTGTGGGATGTTGTTTATTTCTATAGCGTTCTAGAGGGCTGAAATTAGCACTACTATTGAAAGTAGCACTTGAATACTCGTTTCTGTAGAAGGGAGCAATATGAACGCTACAGAATTAAGTCTTTGAAATCAGGGGACGCTAGATCCGGTCCCTGGTATGTCGGGAATGGAAATGTACTTTCTATTCACACGAAAAAAACCTATTCCAAAGCAGGTTCTCGCTCGCACTTTCTGCGATTTCACGGGTGTTTTCACGCTTTTTATTACATCCGCAACAGCCACCATGATTTGTCTTACATTAGTGGATTGTTTGTTTGTGAGCTGGATGGGGAGGAGTCAGCGTTGGCAAACATAAACTGCAGAGGAAGTTTGGGAAACCCAGCAGCAAAGAGAAGAATATAGATCGTGACCCTACAGAGATCAAGAATGGGTTGAGAATCGCGGGGAAAGGTGTATTAAAGTGCATTGCCGCACAGAAGTGCGAGGAAAGTTGCTATTTGTAATTTTTAATTAAGCGTACACATGATCAGTTGACTGACATTCTTATAGCAAGCTCATTTCAGCTATCAGAATCCGCTCCTTATTCGCCGCACTCGGCTCGAGCGATAGTACCGAGGATGAAAACTGTTCAGACGCAATGGTTACGGACGTTGCTCAAGGTTTGAAAAATCCCGGAAAGTGTTACGAAGAAGAATATCAAAAAGCAATGAAGAAGCAGCTCAAGTGACGTGTATGCTGTCTCGAAATAGTATGGGTAGTGAACAAAGAATTTTGTGCATTCAGTGTAAATAACATCCAAGTATAACGAGATAGACATGAAGTGGCCGCCAGTTGCCCTTATTTATATCACACAAGCTAGTAATAAAAATTTATTTTCTTTTTAATTATGTACATCTTGAAGCACTAATCTTTCCATCGATGACCACAATCTGCATTTGCACAACGATAAAATATAGTCATCGGTTCATCGGCTGATCGCGTCTGTATCTGCATGAAGTATGCACGGTCATTTGAACATTTTGGACATCTCTCATTTGTCACCTGTAAAATCAACGCATAAGCAACAACAGTTACATCAAAATCTCAACAATAAATATATTCTGAACATTCATTTAGAGTTTGTGAAGAGTAGGATAGCTTTAACACATTCGAGGCGAAGGCCATTTCGCCCAGAACTCACGTTCGTCGTTGTTTTTGGCTTATTTTTACAATTTTTTCTTCGTATTGATGTGTTAATTGTGTAAATGTATGCTAGTAGAATATAATCAGTCGCAAAAAGAACAAAAAATATGCGCGTGTTTTCGCAATACTGTACGAATGACCGAAAACAGGGGTTTCCGCGTGTACTCCCGGAAGTACACGCCGCCTCGAAGGTGTTAATCAACCATTCACGTTATTCGAAGCCTTGCAGTAAGCAGTAGTGAAGGAACCTTTCACTATCCAGAATGGCATGTACAAAATTGGATCACTACTTCTCATCAGGAAGACTGAATGGCGGTATCAGTACGACCCTCCCCCAAACTTTCTCCTCCTGCACGACCCCTCTCGGCGGCGCTCATCGTTCACTTTTCGTCGGCGTGTTGAGCGTTCTGGGCGAAAAGAGAAGTATAGTATGGATCTAGCCTAGACAACACCAGCATTTGAAGCGAAACACTAAAAACGCTAGATCGATACCTATACTTTCTTTTTCGCCCGAAACGCTCGCAACCCTTGGACGCCGACGAAAAGTATGAACGCATCATTAAGCTTAACCACCAAACTACCGACGAGTGTGCTGTATATTTGATGGAGTAGTTATACAGTCATTGAGGTTCGTATGAGTCCTGGCTAATGAACTCAGAACCTTCACTTCTTTTGAGGGCTAAATAACCGCATAATATTCAGTACATTAGGAAGGTATATTCCCATCATCGAATTCATAGGTGGTACGGGATAACCTCCTCAGGCACCGTTCAGACTTCGCTTCGACGCGCCGCGTGCCAGCGCACTGCCATTGCAACCGCGCGCGATGCTATAGACAGGAGCACAGCCATAGGTGGGTATCAATCGCTGCAGACCGCTACTGCTTTAGGAATATGAGGGTGTGGGAGGGT